CATCACACCCAGCTCTAAGCTTTGCTTTAGTTCCTTCCCACAATGTGGAAACTTAGTGGGTTCCCTGAGGTCACCGCTCCTTATATTCCATTTCTTAATCCATTTATCTCCTTGAACAGAAACTTTACCTCCATTCCACTTCCTGATGCTCTTTTTTCCTGAAAGTTTTCATTTTGTAATTTACCCTGCTCAGCTTGCCCCTTTTCATTATAAATCGTCATGAGAGTTATCCCTAGTAATCACACAACAGTGTCTATACTAGGTTATTTTATGCTTTTCTCTGCCAGTGGAATTCATCCAAAAATTTTCATTTTCGCCTCAGGCAGACTCTTCAAACAAAGGCAAAAGGCAGCCCCTTTCCTCACCAAAATATCACAAGAATGATCTCTAGGCAGCATACTGAAGTTCTTATCCTAGGAAACCTCTTGAGTGAGCACACCACAATTTATCAATTCACACTCAACACCACAGTCTTCCATGTTCCTATTATATGACCCATTAAGCAGCACTTAAAGCTTTCAACTGCTTTTCTAATCCACAGTCCCAAAGTCCATATTATTCCAAACAAAAACATAGTCAGGCCTATCCCAGCAACACCCCAATCCTGCTACCAACTTCTGTCTTAGTTAAGGTTTCTATTCAGTGAAGAGGTGGTGTCTTTATAAAGAAAGCATTTTATTGGGGTGGCTCTCTTACAGAGGTTCAGCCCATTACCATCACGACAGGGAGCACGGCAGCATACAGGCAGTCACGTGCTGAGGCTGAGATTGCTACATCTTGCAAGCAACAGGAAGTCAACTAACACACTTGGTGGTATCTTGAGCATAGGAAACCTCCAAGCCTGTCCCCACAGTGACACACTTCCTCCAACAAAGCCACACCTCCTAACAGTGTCACTCGCTATGAAATTATGGGGGTCAATGACATTCAGACTACCACAGATGGGTTGTCACAGCCAGAGGAAGTGAGATGTGCTTTAGTTTGGGAAGATGGGAAGTTCTGGAGAACGATGGTTTAGATGTCTTCACGGCACTGTAAATACACTTCATGCTCCTGGCTGTATGCTTAGGTGTGAGAAACGGGGGATTTTATGTTAGATCCATTTTACCTAACTCATATGGCATATAGTTCTACTTAAACATTCCTGTTAATATCCTTAATTTCTCCAACTAGAGAAGAACCCTGAAGCCCCCCCCCCCCCAGTTACCTGACCGGCCCATTTGTCTTGCTCCCTCACTCTATGCGCCAGTCCTAGACACATTTTAAAGGCCCCCTGCACCGGCCAGTCCCTACTGGGGTCTTTGCCCTGCTGCTTGATCTCTGGTGTCCCCATACTTTGGTCTCCAGGAGGCTGCCCATCACCCACCTGCCCTCCTAAAGCAGGGTGACCTTCTCCTGGCTCCTTTCTCAAACCGCCCAGCCTTGGTACAGGACTTAAAGGGACCCCATGAATCTTGTCATATCCCTGTCACGGTCAGCACCAGCTCACAGCCAGATCATCAGTTAGAAGGGTACAGAGGGAAAGAGACCAGAAAGCAACTCTGTGAGGTCCATGGTGGAAGCCAGGGAGATCAAGGTCCTTGGAGGAGGCAGGGGGAGCCAGGCATGCTCGTGAAGCCCGGATACAGGGTTGGAAGTGCATACTGAGCCTTCCTCATGTGATGACGACTCAGAGGAGCAGGGTGTTAGAGTCAGGGTGACCTGTGTAACCTCCACAGCTTCTCTAGTGTCACCGTGCAGTGTCATGTCTGTGGTGACAGGCTAGAGTTTGGAGGCCATGAAAGCCATGTATTCTCCATCTGTTTCCTCTTGAAGACTGGTCTTGCTAGAAAGCTCTGAATGTATTGGGTGCATGGGCCCAACAGTGCCCAAACCAAGAAGCGCTGTTTCTAGGACGGGTCAACACAGGCTCTCTGTGGCCCTGGGGAATCTTTGTCCATAGGGACCATGTTCATCCCTGAGCTCTGTGTGACCCAGTGCAGTTCCCTTTGTCCTGGCTGGCCCTGGACTCGGAGACCAAGATGAAGGACAGGGTCCCGCCCTAGGCTCTGTGGTCAAAACCACAGAGCTGGTTCCTGGCATAGCTGAGGCACCCCCACACACACACTCTGCACTCCAGGAGGCGGCTGGCCATCCGCTTGCTCCCCTCTCACCCCTGCCAAGCAGGAACAACCATATCCCTCCCATCCCTCTCCTCCCTGTCCACAGTTTCCAACTCCTTCAACTGTGAAGAGGTAAACTCGGAAGGCTGTGCAAACAGGCCGGGTGGCCACCACATCCGGGATGTCTCAACAACCACGACCCCAACAAGCTGTCACCCTCCATCCCCAGAGGTGTGCCCAGTGCCAGAACAGGGAAGGACTTAGGTGGGAGCTGCAGCTCCCCCGGTGTGATGTGTGTATCTATTGGGTGCCTACTGTGTGCTGCTGTGGACACAAAGGCTACAGTGTTTTGTTTTCTTTTTTCTGAGTGAGGATAGACAGGAGTTGGCAATGTCACCTGAGCCGGGGGTGGATGAGGCCCACTGGGCCCAGATCAGTGGACACAGGGTGCCAGGTCCTGGGCATGGGAGAGAAACCGGTAAGGTAGCCAGGGACACTCCAGAGATGGGAGTCTACGGGATTCTCCCTGTGAGACCAGCTCAACAGTGAATAAAGTGAAATTGAGCCCTAGCTGTTGTCCAGCCTGTGAGCAGGTAGGAAGGCCTAGAACAGGTTGCAGCAGAGGCCTAGGCAAGCCCCGACTGGCGACACACACCACTTAGGAAGGGGACAGTCCACTCTCCAGACCATCCCTGGGTGTCCTTCGGCAGCACCATTTGGCAGTGGAAAGAGGAACTCTGCATGAAAGAGGACATTGCAGATCTGAAGGTCCTGATGGGCAGCATTCAGAGTAAAGGTCCAATATGCAGTACCAGACCCAGCACCGGGTCTCTAAGCAGGAGCCATGGGCCCCACGTGCTATACACATGCACTGGGCATTAAAGAAATTATAGACAAAGATGAAAAACAGGGGCCAGCCTGGCAGCTAGCCTGAGCACACCCAGGGACCTGGGGGCATCTGCCATGTCAGGAGAAAATGAGATCAGACTTGACATCATTATTAATGATGTCCACATCGTATACTTTTATCCATGCTGATTACGGCCAAGGACGCAGCTTAGCGGCATGCACAGCCGCCCACATCCACCTCTAGAACGTTCTATCTTCCCAGCAGACACCTTGTCCCCATTAAAGACACACTCTTCAGCCTCCGGCATCCCAACTTTCTTTCTGTCTCTGCAACTTTGACAACTCTGGGGTCCTTCCAGAAGGGGAACCCTGCAGGATTCTCTCTTTAGGGCTCGGAATCCTCAAGGTACACCCAGGTTGTGGTGGGTATCAGAATGCCCCTCTTTGCTTGAGTCTGTATACGATTCCACTGCAGGGATTCGCCATCGCTTGCTCAGCCATTGTCCAAGCCATTGGGGCACCCCTGTTTTAGCAGCCGTGGATGGGGTCACTAGATGAGGGGTGACAGTAATAGTCACTGTTTTCTCTTTTTCTGGGGGTGTACCTCACGGTAGAACTGTTAGGCTATATATAGCATTTCTGTTTTCAACCTAAGCTCCACTTGGCTGCCCACTGACTGAGTGGGATTCCCACTTCACCCCATCCTCGCCAGCCCTACCTGTGTTCTGTTGCTTGATGGCAGCTGACCTCTCGGAGGTGAGACAGACAGTTCAAGGCTTTTCCTGCGAACGATTCCCTTCCCCAACATTCCATCTCTAGGGATTTATCCTCAGAAAGATAAGTGCGGGGACAGTCAGGGAGGGACTTCCAGGATACTGGAGTCACTCGAACACCCGACACTCCCCCAGCCTGGTCCACCCCTAGGAACTTTCTCAGGCTGCTGTGATCTGGTGCGCATTGCTAGTGGCTGCACGGCTGTAAGAGATGGGATGTAAACCCAGTCTGCGCATCTAACGGAAAAGCCGTGCTACGATATGAACATCCTGCTCTTTGCACGGCCTAGAAGTGGCATTGGTAGGTTTGTTCACGGTCAAGGAAAGGGCTCCCCAAAACCCTCAGGAAACCCAATCAATACAACTGAGAGAACTGAGCCTCTGGGACTCCTCTTCAGGGTGGGCGGTAGTGTCAGGAAAGTCCCAGTCATTCCCTCACCCCACTGTGCCCCCGAGGTTCACCAGTTCCACCAGCTGTAGCCCCAGGTAGGTCTTTTGTCAAGACCCAGGGTTAATAAGCCACCCCTGGGAAGAGGTAGAGTTCACTAGGGGAAATCTGTGGCCTATGTTGGCCAAAATCAGTACAGGACCTCATTTTCACCACGTGCTTGAGCTCAGCAACAGACAGGAGCCCAGAGATGCATCCTTTCTCAGAGTCGGTGAGGGGTTCCCTTCTCCTGGGACCCCGAGAAGCTACAGAGACTCTACCAGATCCATGGCCATCTGGAATGCAACCAGAATCCCAATTTCCAGGCTAAGGGATACCCTTGAGGAGTAGGCCCACCCTCAAGCCTTGCCCATTCTTCAGGGACTCAGTGCCGATCACTTAGGGTCAGCTTCCTGAGCAAACACAAGGCAAGGCTGCTGACCTTCTGACTCTGATCCTTGTAGTGTCCAGGCTCCCACAGGAGCTGGCATAGGACTCCTGACCAAATACCAACTCCATATGCCCAGGACTTCAAATCCAGAGTAGCCAGCTCCACCCCCTGGCCAAGTGCTGGCCCTTCCCTGCCCTATCTACTCCCTCCCAATTCTCAGAAGCCGCAGGGGGTGGGGGCCCTCTGTCTGGCTGCAAATCCTTCCTCCTGCATGGCCTCTTCCTGCCATAGCCCCTCCCCAAGAGCAAACACACGTGGCTGTGCAGGGAGTAGACAGTGCCTTACCTGGCCTAGGAACTGGGCACTGGGCCAAGGTCTTCTGCTACATAAGTCCAGGCCCCCAGGGAGCAAGTGCCTTGTCTCAGTCCCTCCTGCCTGCCCTCTGCGCTGTCCCTAGGATGGGCAGCAGGAGCTGGAACTGGGCTCTGGTCTGGGCCTCTGTGGCCTTGTTCACGGTATGGCCAGCAGGTAAGGTCAAAGCCCCTTGCCCTCTAAAAACCATCTTCCCAGAGAAATGACTTCCACCTGGGGATTTTCCCTTCTGAGACGACAGGCATCTCCCACTGTCCCCAACACCGTGGTCCCAGGTCTTGTGGTTCTCTGGGCTCTGGATCCTATGTCCCACCCTCTAACTCCGTCAGCAGCCTAAGGTCCTGGCTTTGATGGAGGTGTTTCGATGAAGTTAGGTGCTCTAAGCCTCAAGGTATGCACCCTCGTGGGTGAAAACCCCATGGCAGTCTTGGCTTTGGAGATGAAACAGGACTGAGGTCTTTCCGAGTCAGAGAGGTCTGTATCAGAATTAGAAGGGACAGAGACTCTTAGTAAGGACAGGCCCTGCTCTCCCACCAATTGCTGGGGTCACAAGTACCGGGGTGATCTTCACCAAGGCTGGGGTCTCCTTGGTGAAGTGGATTCTGCCTCCGGGTATTAGGGCTGGAGCCGGATCAGATGGATCCGATACCCAGAGCTGTGGTCTGAACCCAGAACTGAGTCAGGTAGGCTGTGTGACCCTTATCAGCAAATCTGCTTTCCCTGTCAGTTTGCTCTTGAGAAAACCGCAGTATTAGCGCTGTCGGCAGTATTGGAAAGATGGCTCCCACAGGACTCAGCTGTAAGCAAGCAGAGCTAGCCTGAACCCCCAGATGTCATGACCTCTCCAAGCTCTGCTCTCTAGACTAGGGAAGCTCAGCTCCAGGCTTCCTGTATCTGTGAAAAGGAGACAGACAGTAAGGGAGGGTGGGGTCCCCAAAGCCCATTCTTGGAGAGCCAGAGAGGCCATGGTTGTCTCTCGTGCTTCAAAGGCTGTCTGCTGGCTGGGAACTGCCCTCCTGGGCCTTCTCCCTCCCTCCACAATGTGGCTCTCCCTAAGCCAGGTCCTGTCTGTCAGAGTGCTGCGCCTACCTGGTGAAGTCAGCCCTCCTTCCCACTCACTTTACTTGGGAAGGGCAACTTTAAGCCCTGGGTTGGGGGAGTGTGTTTCTGTGACAGCTGTGCCTGGGGTAAGGGTGAGAGGCTGGGCCCTAACAAAAAGGGGATCTGGTGTTTGTCCAGATGGGAGGTGGTAACCCAGACCAAGATGTTATGGGGGTGGCTGACAACTCTCTAGCTGAGTGGAGACGGGGAGATCTCAGCCTGAGGGAGACTAGCATAGAGCAGCAGTGGGGGTGGTGTCCTCACCCGTGGGGCCCTCCAGCGGACGGCAGCGGAAAGGCTGGGCCAGGACCATTTGGGAGAGGCTGTGGATCCGGGATCAGTGATGGACAGAGGGAGAGGCCATGCCCTCTGGGGAATGCAGTCAAGCGGGGCCCTTGAGGAAGGATTAATGCACAGGACGGTCCCTGCGGTTTCCAAATGCAGCTGGACACGCTGGGAAAAACAAACAGGAAGCCGCGCTGCCCATGGCACAGGAGCGAGTGGCCATCTGGGTCAAGGCCTGGGGGCACATGGTCTCCTGCAAAGTGCTGGCCTTAAGGAGCCATCGGGCTTTGGAGGCTTGAGTTATGGAGGTTGAAGCTGTTTCTTGGACCTCTAGCAGTGAGGCTGTGGAGGTGGCCTTGCCCAGAGGCAATGGACCATCCAGACTGCTGAGAGTGGACATTTTGCACCAAGAACTGCACCCTCATGCCACCTGCCCCAACCCACAGCTCCAGACCGGGGCTGCCTCTGATCATAGGTTTCTTTCTGCTGTGTCCCTCTTGGGAACTTCTGACTGTATTCTCTCTAACAAAGCCATTTTTCATCTTCCAAGGGACTCAAGTGATGGGGCTGACTGTCACCTCCTGACAGATGGTCACCGTTCCAATATTAACATGGTTTCCTAATTGACTTCTTCAAGCCACTGGGCACATCTGCCCCACTACTGGCAAGACCAGGTGTCACTCCATAGGTGGAGGTGGCGAGGGCCACTGCAGGGGAAGGACTGATTGGGCTGGAAGGGTCAGAATTCCCGAGGACACCTGGCTCTTTGGTGATAGTTAGTGACTGAAGGCTACTACAGCTGATGGGGTTGGAATCGCCAGGCCCAAGTCTGTTCAGGGTTTTGGAGATTACAGGAAGGTCTTGACCTGGGAGCAGAGCAAGTCCACAAGCCTCACACTAAGCCAGAGCAATGGCCACGGTCTGATGGCTTCTTCTTGACTTGTGTTCTCCTATCCTGCAGAGAGCCAGAGCGAGGTAGAAGAACTGAGCTCAGAACACCCCGAATTCACAGGAGATGGTCAGAAAGTGTACAGTGGTACGTGGCTCAGGCTCTGGGTTGGGGAGTCATATTCTGGTGGCAGGGGCAACAGGGAGTGGGGTGGGGCTCAGGTGGGACAGGCAGATGGTCTCCCCACACCAGTTGACACAGTGAGACTCTTGACTAGTCCATTCTGTCCAACGGCCGCGCTGGGCACACACAGACAGGAGCACCCAGGAGAGGAAGGGCTCCTGGGTAGACAGCAGAAGGTTTCAGGAAGAGGGTCGGGGGATGACCATGGAGAAACTGGATGGTTACCCGTTAGTCCTAGGCTTCCTGATTCCCTCGAGGTGGGCATTGAAGAAAGTGGGTGGCCAGGGAGGAGATCCCCAGCCACAGCCCCGGTGTGACCCAGCTTTCCTACTGCAGCTTCCACATCCTCGTCCACCTGGCACATCACCTTCATCCCGCCCATGACTGTCTTCCCGACCATGAGCCGTAAGTGGGCAGCACCTACTGCTGTCAGGCCAAGGAGAATTGGGGGGGGTGGGGGCGGGGCTTGCCAGTCTGGTTGAAGCTGACATAGGCTGAGGCCTCTGAACAGCTATGAAAAGGGTCTGGAACTTGCCCTGGGAACATCCATTGACTGAGTGTCTGGATTGTAGCAAATGAAATGGATGAGGGGTGGGTCTGGGTCATTAGGTTTTATCCAAGCAACTGAGGGGGTGGAATAGCAGAGAACTGGCCCATGAAGCTATTGATAGTTGGGTTCTCTGCTCCAAAGATACTGCCATGGCCCCAGGAGGTTGCCCCTTAGGTAGCTGGGTATGGAGTGCTGGCTCTCAGTGGTGACACCATCTGGTTTCCCTGTAGCCGCAAACCTGGCACACAACGGGAGGGTGTGCAGCACATGGGGTGACTTCCACTACAAGACCTTCGACGGTGACATGTTCCACTTCCCCGGCCTCTGTAACTATGTCTTCTCTTCACACTGTGGGGCCACCTATGAGGACTTCAACATCCAACTGCGTCGTGGTCTTGAGGGCTCCAGGCCCGTGGTCACTCATGTGGTCCTCAGGGCCCAGGGGCTGGTGATTGAGCTGGCCAATGGCTCTGTCCTGGTGGACGGACAGCAGTGAGTTGGGTTTTGGGAAAAAGCATGTTCAAGCCAGGCCTTTAGACCCTGCTCTGTCCCTACTCGGTCCTCTGGGGGAGGGGTCAGGAGCAGAGCAAGTGGGGAGGACAGCCCCTGCTCATACCCCGCTGAAGGAAGACTAGAACTTTCTGCCTAGGGTGGAGCTGCCCTACAGCCGTGCAGGTCTTCTGATGGAGAAGACCAGTGGGTATGTGAAGCTCAGCATCCGGCTAGTCCTCACCTTCCTGTGGAATGAAGACAGTGCTCTGGTAAGGACACTCACCCACAGTTCCCTACGGCCCCCCATAACCCTACATAAGCCTTACACAGGCCCTTACAGCCTCACATAATCCCCTTTCAGTTCCATAGATCCCGAGAATCCCCTGTCTCCCACAGCCCCCCATTCTCCCCTATAACTCCTCACAGTTACCATAGGCCCCACAAGCTCCCCATAGATTTCATAAACTCTCAGAGTCATTCCTGGATTCCTGCACAGTCGATGCAGCCTCCCCCATAACCTCACAGTTCACCTGCAGCTTCTCTAGGGACCTATGATAGAAACCCTACAGACTATCGGAGGAATATCTTCTATGGTCCCCTGGGCAAGTGGGGTGGGAAGCTACCAGGTAGGCCTTGGAGCCAAAGCAGAAGCCCTGAGGCTGGAGTTGCTCTGTCTCCCCCTCTCAGCTGGAGCTGGACTCTAAATATACTAACCAGACGTGTGGGCTGTGCGGCGACTTCAATGGGCTCCCAGGTGTCAACGAGTTCTACGCCCACAGTGAGTGTCATTGAGTCTTCAGGCTAGGTGGTCCCAAGGGACAGAGAATCAAGGAAATCCAGGAGGGATATGGGACGGGGGTGTTGCCAAGACATTGAGGAGGGAAGTGTGTGTGTGTGTGTGTGTGTGTGTGTGTGTGTGTGTGTGTGTGTGTATGTGTGTGTGTGTGATCCAGATAGAGTCCTCTGATAGCACCTCAGGAAGTCTATCTCCTGACTGTGAGTTTTCCCTCCTGCAGACACCAGGCTGACCCCTGTACAGTTTGGAAACCTGCAGAAGCTGGATGGTCCTACTGAGCAGTGCCAGGACACCCTGCCCTCAGCGGTCAGCAATTGCACAGATAGGGTGAGCATCTTGATCAGACCACAGCTCCCAAGGCTGGGGACAGTGCAAGGCCTGTAGGGTGAGCACCTTGATCAGACCGCATCTCCCGAGGCCGGGGACAGTGTGAGGCCTGCATCGACTGACAGAATACCAGAGAACTTCCTGGCCAAAGGCTGAGGAACATCTTCGGGTGACAAGACAGTGAGAGCTTTCCTGCTCCTGAGCAGGCAGAGAATGGCCTCTGAGCCCTCAGAGATTGTGGCTGGGGCCTGAAGGAGGCAGGCCAAGTTGGCTTTCTCCAGTGGGACCAAATGGCTCACATTTTTGATGGAATTCACAACCCACTCACCAGGGCACATAAGTTCTCTGTGTGTAGGTGATGTGTTTGGAGGAGATGTGTACCCACCATCACACAGAGGGCCAAGGTGAACACTCAAGGAGTCCCTCTTATGAGCAGGGAGGACTCATCCTTAGGATCTGACTCCCGAAACCCTGAACCTAGTAGAATGCCTGATTCCTACCTAACCTGAGAAGTGACCGAGAATGTTGTCAAATCCTGGCCTGTCAGGGGTACTGGGGTAGTAAGCAGTTGAGTAGCAGCACCGCGTGCCTGAGGGCCACCTGAGGGTTGGTGTCATCTTTATTTCCCTGTCTTCTGAGCCACAGCATAGGAGTGCGTTCTGCATTCTCCTGGGTGCACAGGTCACAAGTCAGCATGTCTTGGAGCCTTGAAATAGGAGGTGGGAGGAACAGAGAGCCCTGGGTCACTCCCTCAGAGCCAAGTAGAGCTCTATACCCAGGCACAGCACAGTATTTGGATAGCATAATGTATAAGGAAGGTGGATGGATAATGGATGGATGGATGGATGGATGGATGGATGGAGTAGGTGATTGATGGATGGATGGGTAGATGAGCGATTAATGAATGATAGACGGATGGTAGATGGATGATGGGCAGATAATGAATGGATGGATAGATGATGGATGGACAGACAGACAAACGGATGTATAGGTGGAAGGAACCTCCAGGTGAAGAAGGGGCTTCCTGTATGGCCTAGGAAGGGCAGGGTTCCTATTACAAGTGCCACAGCAATCCTGCTTGAGGGTCAGAAGATGCTTAGCCTCTCTGTACTCCCCAGGAGGACATCTGCCGCCGCATCCTGCTTGGCCCTGCCTTTGCCGAGTGCATTGCCCTGGTAGATGTCAACATGTACTTGGATGCCTGTGTCCAGGATCTGTGCCGCTGCCCCACATGCCCATGCGCCACTTTTGCTGAATATTCCCGCCAGTGTGCCCATGCAGGAGGCCATCCGCAGAACTGGAGGAGTCCTGATCTCTGCAGTGAGTATCCTCACTAGAGTATAGCCCAATCTTGAGCTTAGACCCTGGCAAGGAAGTCAAGATAAGAGAATCACTGAAGGGCCACAGAGAGGGTGAATGTCAGGGAAAGAGGAGGTAGTGGGGAGGCTGAGGGGAAGATGCTGTACCTGAGGGTTCTGATGTTGGTCTCAGAGTGGGGACTCAGTTGTGTCCCTGAGCACAGCAACAAGATATGGCTCCAGAACCTTGGGGCAGGATCTCCTGGAGAGCAGTGGCCTCAGGTGGCCATAGGCAGAGAAGGAACTATGAGAAGTGTTGGGTCCCTGTTCTCTAGCCTGCTGCTTTACTTAGCAGATGGCGCTCTGGGACCTCAGTGGACATGGGAGCAGGGAGTGGGCATGGCTCCCACTGATTGAAGCAATCAGGACCCACTTCTCCTAGGTCAAGAGCTATCTCTGTTACAGACTGGACATGCCCCTTCAACATGGAACACCAGGAGTGCAGCTCGCCCTGTGTGGATACCTGCTCCAACCCCCAACGCTCTCAACTCTGCGAGGATCACTGCATGGATGGCTGCTTCTGTCCCCCAGGCAGGCTCTGTGCCCCTCCATGGCTACCTTTAGGATCATGGTCTCCACCTCAGCTGATCCTCTCCACTCCTAATGGCAATAGGCCTGGCTAGGGGTTGCATTCCAAGGTTACAGGCAGGATGGACACTGATTATTAACAAGGACGAGATCTGATGAGCTATGCACAGAAAACAGGTGTTTTTAGTCATTGAGGTCAGGTGGGGAAACTAAGGCCCAGAGGAGCTTATATCAAATAGTTCAGGCTGGGGCAGCATTCTAGACGAGGGGCCTTTCCCGCTGCCTAGGACTAGGATTGTCTTGGAGGCAAGCTGCCTCATGTTACCTGTACCAGGATCATCTGTAACCACTGTCCCTTCCTCCAGGCACTGTGCTGGATGACATCAGACACTTGGGCTGCCTGCCCCTGGAGCAGTGCCATTGCACCCGTGGTGGGCACACTTATGCCCCTGGAGAGTCCTTCAACACCAGTTGCAGCTCCTGGTAAGCTTAACCACCTTTGTGGAGGTGTGCAGGGGGAGGCTTGCCTCTTACCGCTGTAAACCCTTCTGCTAATGGACTCCCCCACAGCACCTGCTCTGGGGGGTTGTGGCAGTGCCAGGACCTGCCGTGCCCCGGCACCTGCTCTGTGCAAGGTGGGTCCCATGTCTTCACCTATGACGAGAAACTCTACAATGTGCACGGGGACTGCAGCTACGTCCTGTCCAAGGTATGGCCGCCATCCTGGCCCACAGGGTCCTGTGAGGGTCCACAGCAGGGGCAAAGGTCATGGAAAACTTCTTTGAGGACTGGGAAGTCCCAGGCCCATGACAAGCTCCCTATGGTGAACCAAGGACCTGAGGATACCCCCAGAACCCCTCCAGGTCTTGAGAGATTATGCATAAGAGAACTCCACATCCAACTCCACACCTTGGGTTTCTTGACAGAAATGTGCAGATAGCGGCTTCACTGTGCTAGTCGATCTGCGAAAGTGTGGACTGACGGACACTGAGAACTGCCTCAAAGTGGTTACACTCAACCTCAATAGTGGGGACATGGTGAGCACTGGGACTCTGATGACCGCCACATTATGGGCTGCAAGTGACAGATTAGGGAGTGTGGAGCATGTGGAGTAGTGACTGGCCAGAGTAAAGAGAGGTCGCTACTCCCTCTCTAATTCCTCAGGTAGGAGTGGTCACCACCCCTGTGGAGAGAACCTACTGCTAGGGCGGGCCTGAGCTTCCATCCTGGCTCTGTCACTGGGTTAGGGAGGGAGATTCTGTCAGAATTCTTCCTATAAGTGGCTGTACGGGCCCTGTGGGTACTGACTGTGTGCACCACATGCGACCAGGTCATCCGGATCCAGGCCAACGGTGCTGTGTTCCTGAACTCCATCTTTACTCAGCTTCCCATGTCAGCAGGTGTGTGGCTCCCTGGGACAGCAGAGCCAAGGCTGGCACCTTCAGTGGGCAAACATATTTCAGCCCTGAGTAGAGTCTAGCTCCTGGGGAGCTCTTCGTGGCCTCAGGCAGCTCTAGTGTTTCCCCTGGGATGAGAAGTTGCTACCCCTGGTTCAATGTGAATCCTACGTCAGGCAGTGCCAACCATGCTCTCTCAGGGGCAGCTGGTAGCCATTTATAACCCTCGCACATTTGGGAGCTTTGGGCATGGGATTTTTTTGGTGCCCCCTCCCGTGTCAGCAGCACTGCGGTGTTTGGTGGGCCAACTCCCAGCATGTCTAACCCTTCTCACCTTACAGCCAACGTCACCATCTTCAGTCCATCATCCTTCTTCATTGTGGTGCAGACTGGCATGGGACTGCAGCTGCAGGTGCAGCTGGTGCCCGTCATGCAGGTGTTTGTCAGGCTGGACCCCTCCTACCATGGCCAGATGTGTGGTGAGGCACCAGAGGGTTTGAAGGTGGGACCGTGGCGGGGAGACTGGTGGGGGTCAGGTCCACCCTAACTCTAGGCTGCGAAGTAGGATCCCCTGTGGAAGGGGATTGGGAAGCACTGGCTCCAGAGCTCAGTGGAGAACCCTGCACCACCCAGCACACTTGACATCTGCCCAGTAACCCGTGGAGTGACCTGGGAGGACAGATCCGCTGTGCTCCCCTGATGGGGTTAGCCCTGTTAGGGGCTCATCTGTGAGCAGTTGTAGAATGAAGCACTAGGGAGGGTCTTTCTTCCCAGTCCTCCTTTGATCATGCTTAGAGGGGTGACAGCCCTGGGGAAAGTGGCCAGGTTGAACAACCTGCTGACCTCCTGACTCCGGTCACTAGGCCTGTGTGGTAACTTCAACCAGAACCAGGCTGATGACTTCACAGCCCTCAGTGGGGTAGTGGAGGGCACAGGAGCCGCCTTCTCCAACACCTGGAAGACTCAAGCCTCCTGCCCCAATTCCAAGAACACCTTTGAGGACCCCTGTTCGTACAGCGTGGAGACGGGTAAGCACCCTCTCTAGTCTTTGGCCATTCCAACAGCCCTTCCTGACCTCTGTGGCCACATCAACTCCTGGGGGAAGGGCTCAGAGAATACCCACATAGGAGGAAAGGCATGAGGCATTAGGGTTGAAGAGGAAGCAGGTGAGGGGCAGCCAACATTTCTCCCTTCCCTAGAGAACTATGCCCAGAAGTGGTGTTCCATGCTCACTGAAAGCTCAGGAGTCTTCTCGGCCTGCCATGCCACCGTCAGCCCGGTGCCCTTCTACTCGGTGAGACCATGGTCTGCTGGACCTGGGTGGGGCAGGTATAGGAGCCCTTGGAGGCTGGACTCCCAGGTCCACCCACCACTACCCATGCTGGTGTTTACTTCTCAGTTAAAGGGCTCACCAACGGAGAAGCTGAAAAAGAGGATTCTGGGAGTTCAGAAAGGTCCTTAGTGGTCCTAGTGTGTCCCAACCTCCCTCTTGTAAGGACAGCAGGTGCTGGAACCAAGCTACCTCACGGCCTGTCCCCCTAGGCTCCCCCTTAAAGGCTTCTTTCTATGTTGACTGCATTCAGACGTGATAGAGCACTGCAGAGCACCTTTTGGGGGGACACGCTTTATTTTTTTTATATCTACATAATTTATATTTTAATGGATATTTTTAAACTGCAGTATAGGAAAGATGGAGAGAAACCTAGGCTGAATTGCACAGACTGGATAAGTAGCCAAGGGGATCAGTACACACAGACTTTTCTCCTTGAGAGATCCTACTGCACGTACTGGCTTTGTGGGGGACACGCTTTAAATAGCACTCCAAAGCCCTAAACTTTAGTACATCATTCCATCCCCGAGGGTGCGTCTCCGGGTAACCTACTTCCATGACGCCTCACTGGACACACCCTGCTGAGCCCAATTCATACAAGCCCCCTATGTGCAGCTGGGTTAGAACAACGCCCTTGTCTTGTGGAGATTCTTCCCCAGGGCCCCTGCCTTAGGCTTCAGGCCTTCCTGAATCCAGGTCTGTTCTCCATTCTGGCTGCCATTTTACCCTGTGGCTTCTGACACTGTCCCTAACACGAATCCCAGGCCACATCTTGAAGACCCCGCTTGTCAAAGTTTCTGACGGGATAGCTCCCGCTGGGAAGCCTCAGATCCAGGCCTTGAGCAGGGTTTGACGGATACTGATGGGAAAGTTCAATGAGCAATAAGGAACCTAGGAGACAGAGGTACCTGACTTCCTGACGTCTTATCTCCCAGAACTGCATGTTTGACACGTGCAACTGTGAAAACAGCGAGGACTGCATGTGTGCCGCCCTGTCCTCCTATGTGCATGCCTGTGCCGCCAAAGGGGTGCTGCTCAGTGGCTGGAGAGACAATGTCTGCTGTGAGTGTTCTGTGGGCCACCAAGGCTCCTTGGCACAGGTTAGGCCTCCCCACGGTAGCCATCTGGATCCTGTCACTCTGGCATAGGGGCACTTGGGACCCTGGACAGCAGTAGCTATCATCATCTGTCCCATGTCTGCAAGAACCTTCCATCCTATGGTGTCAATGATGGTGTCACTAGTCTATGGCAGGGAAGAACAAGGGCTGTGTCAGTTCACACAGTCATTGATCTCTCTGTACCGTTTCTTCTTCCTATAGTCAAGTACATGAACAACTGTCCCAAAACCAAGAGCTACTCCTATGCAGTGAGCACTTGCGAGCCTACCTGCCGCTCTCTGAGTGAAGCTGATGTCACCTGTGGCGTCTCCTTTGTGCCCGTGGATGGCTGCACCTGCCCTGAAGGCACCTTCCTGAATGACAAGGGTCACTGTGTGCGTGATGAGGAGTGCCCCTGCTTCTTCCATGGAACTGTGGTGGCCGCCAGAGAGTTCGTTATGGACAATGGGGTGGTGTGGTAAGAAAGATCGTCCTTACCCATCCCCTCTGCTCACAGATCTGTGTTGGGGGGGTGGTGGCTAGTGGTCCTTCTATACCCAGAAGTTTGTGTGGCCTTCTAGTATTAGCATAGGCTAGTGACTAAACCTTTAGTGTTTGGGAACATGGGGTCCAGGGTCTTCCCAAGGACCCCTAATAGCAGGCATCCTCTTGGTGTTGGGAGGAGGTAAGGAGGCCCGAACCTTGGTGGGGTATGGAGAGTACTGGGGTAGAATGTGAGAGGTACTGGGCCTGGAGCAGGGGTCCTACTGTCTCTTGTAGTTCATGTGAAAAGGGGAAGCTGACCTGTCTTGGAGCCCTGATGCAGAAGAACACAGGTATCATTCCACCCTGACCAGCCTGTACTTCACCATGGTTGCTGTGCCCAGATGCTCTAGGGGAAGAGGGCTTGTGGGCTCTGTGGCAGTGTGGCTGTAGGGCTCTTGGGGATGTGGGATATACCCTCTGGGGCAGATCCATACAGACTGGGTGCTTGGTACAGAGCACCCAAACTTTCTACAGTCCAAGCAGCAAGACAGGGTCAGGAGACCATAGAGACCAGGAATGTCCTGTTCCAGGCCTCTCTACATGCTTGTCCTCCCCAGAGTGCCAGGCACCTATGGTATATCTAGACTGTAACAATGCCTCAGTTGGTGACCAAGGATCTGAATGCCTCAGAAGCTGCCAAACACTGGATGTGGAATGTGTGAGTCCTCTTGGTGCAACACCAACCTTCATCCACCATTCTAAGCTACAGGAAGAGTGTGGGGGGGGGGTGGATATCACTGGAAGGCCAGTGGCTTTGGGTCTTGGCCTCCTCTTGGGCATTCAAAGGACAGGGTCTCCTTGCTTGCTGTCCTGGGCACCTGAATAGGGCTGAGGGAACAGGATGTTGTTTCAGTCCCTGACCAGGCTACCTGTGTCCACAGTTCAGCACACACTGCGTCTCTGGCTGTGTGTGTCCCTCAGGGCTGGTAGCAGACGGGAATGGGGGCTGCATTGCTGAGGAGGACTGCCCCTGCGTACACAATGAGGCCACCTATAGACCTGGGGAGAGCATCCGGGTAGACTGCAATAACTGGTAGGTTCTGGGTCCCTCAGAGGGTATCTGCGGTGACACTGGTCTAAGGCGGCCTTGGCATTTCAGGGGCCTCAGCATGTGTCTTGGGAGCCAAGGTACTCATCGAGGACCCCATTCTGGGAAGGAAGGGCTATTTCTCTAGTGGGGGTGACTGGATTACACACCCACACAAGACCAAAGCTTGATATAGTCTGAGCTTGATTCCCCAAGTAAAGTGGCACGCTGGCTCAGGACTGGGACAGCCAATCTCAGGGGACAATACCCTTGTCAGCAATGACCTCTCCTTTCACAGTACCTGCAAGAACCGCCGGTGGGAGTGCACTGACCAACCTTGTATGGGTGCATGTGTGGCCTATGGGGATGGCCATTTTGTTACCTTTGATGGTGAACGCTACATCTTTGAAGGCAGCTGCGAGTATACCTTGGCTCAGGTGTGTGGTCCCTGGCCCCTGCCAATGAGTCACCATTCTCTATCCTTCCCACCAGTTATTTTTGAGCTGTGACCAGAGCCTCGTCTTTTTCCTTCTCAGGACTACTGCAGAGGCAACACCAGTACTGATGGGACCTTTCGTATTATCACTGAGAATGTCCCTTGTGGGACCACGGGAACCACATGTTCCAAGACCATCAAGATCTTTGTGGAGGTGAGAGTATACTTAAAGCCACTGGGGACTGTGTCCCTCCTTCTGCAGTGTTACCTCTGGTTCTCCAGCCATCAGCTGGAGAACATCAAGGACAGGATAGCAAGTGACCCAAACCCAGGACTTAAAATAGCAAACTACCGTCTTCCAACCTGGAGCCGGAATTAGATTAAGGCGAGCAGGTTTGTGTTCCCTGTAGATCAGGAGGTTCCAGCAGGCCTTGGTTTGGGGCATCACTCCAGGCTACCTCTGTCTACTCGTGACCTTCTGCTCTGTGTCTATGTCTCTGGTCATTGTTAGGACAGTCACTGGGCTTAGGGGACACCCAGGTAATTTCAGAAAACCCATCTCAAGATCCTCCAAAGACTCTTTTTCTAGGAAAGTGTTATTTTAAAGTCTTCGGAATAATGTGTATATTTGGGAGGGATATTATACTCAGTACCCCACTTCTGGCAAAAGGAAGTCAGAATTCAAAGTAGAAAGCAGAGCGGCTGGCTTGTGGTGTGTCTTTCTGTTGCCGCAATAAAACGCCATGACCGAAAGCAAGTTGGGAAGGAAAGGGTTTATTCGCCTTACACTTCCAGATCATAGTCCGTCATTGGAGGAAGTCAGGACAAGAACTCAAGCAGGGCAGGAACCTGGAGGCAGAACCTGATACAGAGGCCATGGAGGATGCTGCTTACTGGCTTGCTTCCCCTGGCTTGCTCAGCCTGCTTTTTATAGAATCCAGTACCACCACAGCCCAAGGATGGCACCATCCACCATTGACTGGGCCCTCCCTCACTGATCTCTAATTGAGGAAATGCCTTACAGCTGGGTCTCAATGAAGCATTTCCTCAGTTGGCTCTTCCCCTCTGAGGTGGGTGGGGCAGCGTTGCACATGTGAGCCTTTGGAGATCTGTAGGTGTGCGGCCTGAGTTTCCCTACTCCTCCAGTGAGTCTTCATCTGTTGAGGAGTCCTCCAAGGGCAGCAGGCAAGCTCCCGGTCTCCCAGTTCCCTGACACTGTTGCCTTATATTTCTCCATCTACAGAGCTACGAGCTGATTCTTCATGAGGGGAACTTCAAGGTGGTAGAGAGAGGGCCAAGTGGGGACCCTCCATACAAGATCAGATACATGGGCATTTTTCTGGTCATTGAGATCCGCAGTGGGATAGTCGTGTCCTGGGACAGGAAGACCAGTGTGTTTGTCCGACTGCAGCAGCATTACAAGGCAAGTGTGGCCACCATGCACCCTGTTTCTAGGGCTGGTAGTTGACATTGAAAAGTCCTCACTACCAAGACCACACACAACACCAGGTTCCAAGAAGGACAAGTTGAAATTGCAATGCATAGTGGGTGTACTGGAATCATGACTGACAAACCAGCCCACACAGGTCTGTGCAGACACAGAATCTTCTAAAGAGAATAAGTTCAGTTCACCCACCTGCCCCAGGACCCACTTCCCACATCCATTTGCAAGTTCACAGGGCACAATCCAGGGAAAATGGGTTCTCCCTGTGCTCTCCTCCCAAGCCAGGCTCTGTGCCAGCTCCCCTAACCTGCTCAGGATTCTCTCTGCTCGTGTGTCTGCAGGGCAGGGTCTGTGGCCTGTGTGGGAACTTTGACGACAATGCCATCAATGACTTCACCACGCGCAGCCAGTCTGTGGTGAGTGATGTTCTGGAGTTTGGAAACAGCTGGAAGTTCTCCCCATCCTGCCCAGATGCCCCAGTTCCCAAGGACCCTTGCACTGCCAACCCTTACCGCAAGTCCTGGGCCCAGAAAAAGTGCAGCATCATCAACAGCGCGACCTTCGCAGCCTGCCACTCCCAGGTAGGACCTGGCCTTGGTTCCTAGGGCTTGCAGTTGCCTGCTTCTTCTTGGGAGGAATTGAGTCTCACTGGACTGCCAGCTGGCACAGTGTGAGTGGTGGGCCCTCTGCTCCACAGAATTAGACAACTCTCCCATGCTGGGGCGGGCTAACCACATGTCCCACAGCTGCGCCAGTCTGGAATTCTGTTAAGCAATGCCAGCTGAAAGAGTCACCATCACTATTTCCTTGGGGCATGTTCTCAGGGGTATGGAAGTTCAGGTGGGTTCCAGGTACCAGCTAACTCAAACGGAGAAGAGACAAAAATCTGCTGTCTCCTAGTGATCCTCCACTGGAGTGAGGTGGCAGGGTGGTCATGGAGAGGCTTACACCAAAAAGCCAAGTAGAAAGCCACTAGGAGTCATGGGAACAGCAATTCAGGGGAAAAGTCAGCTATAGGAAGGCATGCTATAGGAAGCTATAGGATGGGGCCAGTGCACTGAGTAGAAGGACAGAAGTAGGACCGCAGTGCAAGACTCTGCAGGTATGAAGCCCGTAGACCGGGCGACGGGACCCAAGTCAAAGGACCTAAAGAGTACTAGAGAAGGTGTAGAGGTGGGCAGGTGCAGGTGTGAAGTGGGGCAGATGTGTAGGCACGCAGTGTGTGGGTGAGTGTGCAGGTAGATATCTGTGCAGCTGTAGGTAGGCAGGTATACAGTGATATGTAGGTGAGGAGCTGTGCAAGTGGATGAGTGCACATATGGACAGGAGGGGAAGTGCACAGGCAGATATACAAGTAGGTAGGCAGGTACACAAGCAGACAAATGTGAAGGTTCACAGGTAGGCAGGTACACTGGTGTACAATCAGGTACGTGCACAGGTGGGCAGGTTCACGGTTTTCCAGATGTGCAAGTACACAGATGGCCAAATAGATAGGTATACATGTGGACAGGTATGCACGTATATATTCAGGCAGGTGAACGGCTGCACACATGTATGGGCACATGAGTGGCAGGTTATGGGTATGTGGGTGTACAAGTGTGTGGGTACACAGTGAGTTGGAAAAGTGGTGTTGGACAGTTCCCACTTGGGACAATCTGATAGTAGCCACAGTACCAAATCAACATTCCCATAGTGTGGGGGCTGGACTACAACTAGCTCCGTATCCTCCCCCATATTCATCTGTCCCCTGGGCAGACATCGCTGTCCTCCCTGAGTGGCACCTTGGCTCCTCCATTCCAGGTTGACTCTACCAAGTACTACGAAGCTTGTGTGCATGATGTGTGTGCCTGTGACTCAGGGGGTGACTGCGAGTGTTTCTGCACTGCTGTGGCTGCCTATGCCCAGGCCTGCCGTGATGTGGGCGTGTGCTTGTCCTGGAGAACACCAGACATCTGCCGTGAGTAGGGCACTGTCCGTGGTACTGAAGGGTGGGTTTGTGAGTGAGGTGGGCCTCTGTACTTCCCTCCTGGCTTAGATGCTGGCCACTATGATGTGTGTATGTGTGCATGTATGTATTTGTACATGTGTGCACAGATCTATATACACACGTGGTTCTTTGACACATGATACGAAGCAGCTGAGGTTGGGGGCCCCAGGATCTGAGTTAGGGAATGGACCCAAGGAGGCCATCTGCCTAGCCCAAGGCCTGTATGTCTGGGTATAGTCATGAGGTCTAGTAGACTCTGCCTTCTGTCCTCAGCTCTTTTCTGTGACTACTACAACCCTCATGGGGAGTGTGAGTGGCATTACCAGCCCTGTGGAGCCCCCTGTCTGAAGACCTGTCGAAACCCTGCTGGACGCTGCCTTGTTGACCTGCCAGGCCTGGAAGGTAAGGGCGGAATGTGCTGGTGGAGGCCTTTAGACCCATAACCCCATGCATGGTACTAGGGTAGACCCAGTGTACTAGGGGTTCTCTGCCACTGATTGGGAACTGGGCAGTTGGATACATGCACAAGAGGACAGAAAGTCAATGCTATCCCTGCCGGCTCTAGGCTGCTACCCACAATGCCCACCCAGTCAGCCTTTCTTCAGTGAGGACCAGATGAAGTGTGTGGCCCAGTGTGGATGCTATGATGATGATGGAAACTACCACGATATTGGCACACAGGTCCCTACAGCAGAGAACTGCCAGAGTTGGTGAGAGGGGAGCCAGGGAGGGAAGAGAACAGGGACCCAGAGTGTTGGGAAAGGGCAGGGGAGGGCTAAAGCATGCATCAGCTAGGGGATGCTCATGGGTCCTCAGAGCCCCTGTCTTCCCCTCAGTCTCTGCACCCCTGATGGCCTCAAGTGTGTTCACAACCTTACAGGTAAGCAAAGCCTGTGGGTTTGGGGTTGGAAGAAGGCTGAAGGCTGAGAAAGCTGAGCCAATACATCTAACCCCCAGCTTGCATATGCACCTATGAGGGCCGTACCTACCACTACGATGATGTTGTCTACAACACCACGGATGGCCTTGGTGCATGCTTAGTGGCCATCTGCAAAGACAATGGGACAATCATACGCACAACAGAAGAGTGCCCTGCAGTCTTGTCTACCACACCGTTCACATTCACCAATACTTTGGTACCCCATACCACAACAGGTAAGACCATACAAGGTTCACTGGAAGCCCCTGAACAAGAAACTATTATGTTAACCCAGAGAAAGGCTTGGCCACATTGGCACAAGGGAAGATGACAAGTGGCCAATGCAGGGAACTCCAGTTACAAAGATATCTTGGGTCCTGATCCATTGTTCAGTTGCCCAGGCTCTGCCTGATGTCCATGGTCCTCACCCCTCTATGATTTCCCAGGAAGCCTTGGCACAACTGCTGGAGCTGCCATCAGGGAAACAGAAATCCCCAGGCTCCATTTGCCCTTGGTGTAGCCCACCGTAGTTAGTGAGCTCTCTCAAGACTGTTAGCTGGGTCCTGGACCAAGCCAGCATTAGGCCTAACATATGCTAAGGTCAAGTCATCTGTTCCCTTGCCCTGAGATGAGAGGGGCTGAGAAGGGCTTCTATCACTTTCACGCAGGCTCAGCTCCGACTGCATCCACTGTGTCCACGGTGTGTGTCCGCGAGGTCTGCCGCTGGTCCATTTGGTATGATGAAAGCCATCCAGAGCCTGGCACGACAGGTGGGGACTTTGAAACGTTTGAGAACCTGAGGCAGAAAGGGTACCAGGTGTGTCAAAGCCCTGCTGCCATTGAGTGTCGTGCTGAGAAGTTCCCCAGCATGGACTTACAGAAGCTGGGACAGAAGGTGAACTGTGACCCATCCTGGGGGCTGAAATGTCTTAACAGTGAGCAGAGTCCGCCACTCTGCTACAATTATGAGCTAAGGGTTCTGTGCTGTGATTACGTGCCCTGTAGTTCCACCCTGACCTCAGGCGCAAGCACCACTCAGTCCCGACCAGAGATCAACAGAGAGTCCTCTTGGCCCACTCACAGTACTCAGAGGCCCACTCACAGTACTCAGAGGCCCACTCACAGTACTCAGAGGCCCACTCAGAGTACTCAGACAGCATCCTCAGTGTCCAAGTCCACACCCTTGTGGACCACAGAAGGGAAAGAGACATCTCTGGATACAATTCACAGCTCAAGACAAACAGTGACCTTCGCCTCAAAAAGAAGGGCCACTTCACATCATATTGGGGCCACAAAATCAGCCAGCAGCCTTGTCACATCCAGCGCAACATCAGTATTCAACTCACAGACAGGGTCCACTTCAAGAGCCAGCACGGTCACACAGATAATCAGCAGCCCCGTGACCTCAACCTCCTGCCAACCCCAATGTCAGTGGACAGGGTGGCTTGACACAGACTACCCTACATCTGACAGCGAGGGAGAAGACATTGAGACATATGAGAGGATCAGGGCCACTGGGGCAGATATCTGTGAACAGCCTCAGGGCATCCAGTGTGTGGCCCAGAACTACCCTGACATGAGTTTGGACATGTTGGGTCAGGAAGTGACGTGTGATGTCAACTTCGGTCTGGTGTGCCGCAACAGGGACCAGAAAGGTGATTTTGGGATGTGCTACAATTACATGATCCGGGTGCTGTGCTGCAGTGTGAGCCATTGCCAGGGACCGACCACCACTGCGGGCTCACCCCCCACACCACGGACTGCCACCACTGCTACCCAGACCCTGTCCTCCAAGCCTTATCCCAACACCAGTCCAGTTGAGACCTGGTCTCCTTCAGGCTCCACCAGCGTCAAGGGCTCAGAGATGCCCACCTCTGGGATCCTAACTGCAAGTGTGTCATCCCCACCCAGCACTTCTCTGACAGCCACCTCAAAGACCACTCAGCATCCCAGGAGCCCAGAATCCTCTGGGACTCCTTCAGTGGTGACAACAAGGTCCACCTCTCAAGGGCACTCCCTACCTCCCAGCAGTCCCCATGCTACCAGCTCATTCTCAGCAACAACCTCAAGGACTTCCCTGGCCAGAGGGACAACCTTCTCTACCTCTCTGACCACCCCTGGACCATCCTATTCCCCTCCTGGAAGCACCGGCATGAGCTCATCCACGGCGGCCTCCACGAGCAGAGCAATTACACATTCCAAGACTACCCCAGAGCTCACTGGAGCTCCTTCAGCCAGCACCACAGAACCACTCGGGACACCGACCACGGCCACTTCAGCAGCCAGCACGGTCAGCACACCTGTGACCTCTACCACCTGCCAACCCCAATGTCTGTGGACAGGGTGGCTTGACACAGACTACCCCACGTCTGACGGCGAGGGAGAAGACATTGAGACATATGAGAGGATCAGGGCCACTGGGGCAGATATCTGTGAACAGCCTCAGGGCATCCAGTGTGTGGCCCAGAACTACCCTGACATGAGTTTGGACATGTTGGGTCAGGAAGTGACGTGTGATGTCAACTTCGGTCTGGTGTGCCGCAACAGGGACCAGAAAGGTGATTTTGGGATGTGCTACAATTACATGATCCGGGTGCTGTGCTGCAGTGTGAGCCATTGCCAGGGACCGACCACCACTGCAGGCTCACCCCCCACACCACGGACTGCCACCACTGCCAGTTCTAGGTCAATCACACATACTTCCTGGCCTGTGTCCAGCATATCCACCATCACCAGCACCACAGAATCTATTTCATCCCCTGGAAAAACCACAATCCGCACCATGGCTTCTTCCACAGCCACAACCACACCCAGGGAGACTCAAACCTCATCATGGCTATCCACTGGTCTCTCCCCAGCCCTTACAACTACAAGGACCACTTCCACAGGCTGTAAGTTTCAATGCACCTGGACAGATTGGCTGGACAGTGACAAACCTCAACCTGGCCGGTTTGGGGGAGATATTGAGACCTACTATCATATTAGAAACAAGACAGGTATCCAGGTATGCAAGAAACCTGTGGACATTGAATGTGAAGCCATCCTCTTCCCCAACATGTCCTTCCAGCAGCTGGGCCAGGAGGTGGTGTGTAATGTGGACTTTGGACTCATCTGCAGGAATAGCAAGCAGGCCAACAACCAAACCTGTTTCAACTACCATATCCGTGTACTCTGCTGTGAGGAAGACATGAGCTGTTTGAGCACAACGGGATCACTGTCCACCACCTTCAGTCCAGTGACCGAATCCCCTCATACAGCAGCACTGCTGTCGTCCACTTCCACAGCAGCACCTGGATCTCCCAGTACAGTCTCCATGTCCACAAACAAGAGGCCATCGGAGGAGCCAATGGCCTCAACTTCACTCACAACACTAAGGAGAATCTCTTTCCCTAGGACAGACAGGGTTGTCTCCATTAGCACAACTGGGACTACTGAGAGATTGTCTGTCTCTAGTTTGTCAACAAGTTCAGCCTCTCCAACTACCTTCCTCCAAACATCAAAAGAGCAACACTCAGGTAAACCAAACACAACTTCATGGACCGCTTCCTCCAGCACTCCCAGCACTGCCAAGCTGACAACGTCCACTGGCACCTCCACAGGGTTCTCTAGAACCATAACCACACTCTGGAGCAGCTTGCCCCCTAGCACCCCAACCACACCTACCAGATCCACTGAACCCAACTCTACCTTGATGACAACAAAGAACCCTCCAACACTGATCACAAGTCACACGTCCAACAGTCACACTAGAACCCATATCACCACAACATCCTCTCCTGAAGCAGTAAGTACAGAGGAGGTCAGAAAGTCCTCCTCGTCTACCTCTCTGACCACCCCTGGACCATCCTATTCCCCTCCTGGAAGCACCAGCATGAGTTCAGCCACGGCGGCCTCCACGAGCAGAGCAATTACACATTCCAAGACTACCCCAGAGCTCACTGGAGCTCCTTCAGCCAGCACCACAGAACCACTCGGGACACCGACCACGGCCACTTCAGCAGCCAGCACGGTCACACACACGGTCAGCACACCTGTGACCTCTACCACCTGCCAACCCCAATGTCAGTGGACAGGGTGGCTTGACACAGACTACCCCACGTCTGATGGCGAGGGAGAAGACATTGAGACATATGAGAGGATCAGGGCCACTGGGGCAGATATCTGTGAACAGCCTCAGGGCATCCAGTGTGTGGCCCAGAACTACCCTGACATGAGTTTGGACATGTTGGGTCAGGAAGTGACGTGTGATGTCAACTTCGGTCTGGTGTGCCGCAACAGGGACCAGAAAGGTGATTTTGGGATGTGTTACAACTACATGATCCGGGTGCTGTGCTGCAGTGTGAGCCATTGCCAGGGACCGACCACCACTGCGGGCTCACCCCCCACACCACGGACTGCCACCACTGCTACCCAGACCCTGTCCTCCAAGCCTTATCCCAACACCAGTCCAGTTGAGACCTGGTCTCCTTCAGGCTCCACCAGCATCCAGGGCTCAGAGATGCCCACCTCTGGGATCCTAACTGCAAGTGTGTCATCCCCACCCAGCACTTCTCTGACAGCCACCTCAAAGACCACTCAGCATCCCAGGAGCCCAGAATCCTCTGGGACTCCTTCAGTGGTGACAACAAGGTCCACCTCTCAAGGGCACTCCCTACCTCCCAGCAGTCCCCATGCTACCAGCTCATTCTCAGCAACAACCTCAAGGACTTCCCTGGCCAGAGGGACAACCTTCTCTACCTCTCTAACCACCCCTGGACCATCCTATTCCCCTCCTGGAAGCACCAGCATGAGCTCATCCACGGCGGCCTCCACAAGCAGAGCAATTACACATTCCAAGACTACCCCAGAGCTCACTGGAGCTCCTTCAGCCAGCACCACAGAACCACTCAGGACACCGACCACGGCCACTTCAGCAGCCAGCACGGTCACACACACGGTCAGCACGCCTGTGACCTCTACCACCTGCCAACCCCAATGTCAGTGGACAGGGTGGCTTGACACAGACTACCCCACGTCTGACGGCGAGGGAGAAGACATTGAGACATATGAGAGGATCAGGGCCACTGGGGCAGATATCTGTGAACAGCCTCAGGGCATCCAGTGTGTGGCCCAGAACTACCCTGACATGAGTTTGGACATGTTGGGTCAGGAAGTGACGTGTGATGTCAACTTCGGTCTGGTGTGCCGCAACAGGGACCAGAAAGGTGATTTTGGGATGTGCTACAATTACATGATCCGGGTGCTGTGCTGCAGTGTGAGCCATTGCCAGGGACCGACCACCACTGCGGGCTCACCCCTCACACCACGGACTGCCACCACTGCTACCCAGACCCTGTCCTCCAAGTCTCAGGCCAACACTAGTGTAACTGTGACCAGAACTTACTCGGCTTTCACCACGGTAGCAACAAGCTTCTCAAAAACTCCACCCGCCTCTAGCTACACGGCCACTACTGTTACATCCTCTACCAGAAGCACCCCACATGTTTCAAGTGTCACGGAAAGTAGCAGCCCAGGAACGGTCTCCTCTATCCATACAACACTCACCATCATGCCTAAAACATTACAGCCATCGACACCTGCTTTGACAACAAAGCAAACTTCCTCTACTGGAATCGCGACCAGAATACTTACTGGTACAGCTGGCACTACCTTTTCAAAACTTCCACCCACAAGCCTAACTACAGTCATAGAAGAGCTGTCTACCAGTACACCAAGGATACAGACGCTACCAGAAACCATGACTACTGCCAGCACCAGCCAGGGCACAACCTACTGCCAGCCCAAGTGTACATGGACGGAATGGTTTGATGTAGACTCACCAACCTCAGGGGTAATAAGAGGAGACATAGAGACCTATGAAAACATCAGAGCTTCTGGTAAGAAGATGTGCCAAGCACCAGAAAAGATTGAGTGCCGGGCAGAGAACTATCCTGCAGTCAGCATTGATAAGGTTGGCCAAGTAGTAAGCTGCAGCCTGGAGACAGGGTTAGTCTGCAAAAATGAGGACCAGACAGATGATTTCAAAATGTGCTTTAACTATAATATACGTGTGCTTTGCTGTGATGACTATAGCCATTGCCCTAGAACAACGGCTGTTCCACCAACATCTACCACAAACAAGCCTAAAGCAAGTAATGAGGTCCCCACCATGGCCACCAGTTCATCAACAAGACAAAGACACTCCATCAAAGCTACCACACCTTCAAAGACTTCAGACAGCCTGACGACCACTGTTATCCATACAGGATCCATACATTCCACACACTCAGTCAGCACGCCTGTGACCTCTACCACCTGCCAACCCCAATGTCAGTGGACAGGGTGGCTTGACACAGACTACCCCACGTCTGACGGCGAGGGAGAAGACATTGAGACATATGAGAGGATCAGGGCCACTGGGGCAGATATCTGTGAACAGCCTCAGGGCATCCAGTGTGTGGCCCAGAACTACCCTGACATGAGTTTGGACATGTTGGGTCAGGAAGTGACGTGTGATGTCAACTTCGGTCTGGTGTGCCGCAACAGGGACCAGAAAGGCGATTTTGGGATGTGCTACAATTACATGATCCGGGTGCTGTGCTGCAGTGTGAGCCATTGCCAGGGACCGACCACCACTGCAGGCTCACCCCCCACACCACGGACTGCCACCACTGCTACCCAGACCCTGTCCTCCAAGCCTTATCCCAACACCAGTCCAGTTGAGACCTGGTCTCCTTCAGGCTCCACCAGCATCCAGGGCTCAGAGATGCCCACCTCTGGGATCCTAACTGCAAGTGTGTCATCCCCACCCAGCACTTCTCTGACAGCCACCTCAAAGACCACTCAGCATCCCAGGAGCCCAGAATCCTCTGGGACTCCTTCAGTGGTGACAACAAGGTCCACCTCTCAAGGGCACTCCCTACCTCCCAGCAGTCCCCATGCTACCAGCTCATTCTCAGCAACAACCTCAAGGACTTCCCTGGCCAGAGGGACAACCTTCTCTACCTCTCTAACCACCCCTGGACCATCCTATTCCCCTCCTGGAAGCACCAGCATGAGCTCATCCACGGCGGCCTCCACAAGCAGAGCAATTACACATTCCAAGACTACCCCAGAGCTCACTGGAGCTCCTTCAGCCAGCACCACAGAACCACTCAGGACACCGACCACGGCCACTTCAGCAGCCAGCACGGTCACACACATGGTCAGCACGCCTGTGACCTCTACCACCTGCCAACCCCAATGTCAGTGGACAGGGTGGCTTGACACAGACTACCCCACGTCTGACGGCGAGGGAGAAGACATTGAGACATATGAGAGGATCAGGGCCACTGGGGCAGATATCTGTGAACAGCCTCAGGGCATCCAGTGTGTGGCCCAGAACTACCCTGACATGAGTTTGGACATGTTGGGTCAGGAAGTGACGTGTGATGTCAACTTCGGTCTGGTGTGCCGCAACAGGGACCAGAAAGGTGATTTTGGGATGTGCTACAATTACATGATCCGGGTGCTGTGCTGCAGTGTGAGCCATTGCCAGGGACCGACCACCACTGCGGGCTCACCCCCCACACCACGGACTGCCACCACTGGAAGACTCTCTAGTACTGCCATAAACACTTCTTGGGTTTCTCCTAGTACCCTCAGCCACACTTCAGCTACTTCCACACCCACCAGTACTTCCAAAGAGAATCAGTCTTCCTCTCTGGCGAGTACTAGGACTACGGTCATCTCTACTCCACTCTCCAGTTCCACGCGCTGCACTCCTCAATGTACCTGGTCAGATTGGCTGGACCATAGCTCACCCATCCCTGGGAGTTCTGGAGGGGAATTTGAGACCTATGCCAACATTAGAGCCGCTGGAATTGCTATATGTGAAAAGCCCATGGACTTAGAATGTGATGTTGTTGACCAGCCCCATGAGCCTCAGCAGGAGTCGAATCAGGTGATCAACTGCAGTGTGAACTTTGGTCTGGTGTGCAGGAACCTGGACCAGCCGGGGCCCTTTAGTGTATGCCTCAACTACCGCATCCGTGTGCTTTGCTGTGATGACTATAGTCACTGCCCTAGTACCTTTTCCAGCACCAGAACGTCAGCACTACCCTGGTCTACCCACACTCCTCTGGTCCCTTTCACAACCACAGTGGCCTCAAGCACTGAGTCCACCTTTCAGACCAAGCATCCCTTCAGCTCCCCAGTGCCAAGTACCCAAGCATCCACATGGACCACACTTACTGACTCGGGCTGTGCACCTCGATGCACATGGACAGACTGGTTTGATGCAGACTTCCCTAACCCTGGCCCCAGAGGCGGGGACTTTGAGGTCTATGCAGTGCTACGTGAGGTTGGCTTTGTGTTCTGTGAGCAGCCCAAGGACATCCAGTGCCGCTCTGAGAAGGAGCCAGACAGGCCCCTAGAAACTCTAGAGCAGGTGGTCCAGTGTGATGTGCGATTTGGGCTTATATGCAAGAATATCAACCAATCGGGGCCTTTGCAATATTGTGACAACTACCATGTGCGCCTCCTCTGCTGTGACAACACCACCCACTGTACCACCCCACCCATGGCCACCCCCTCCACTCTTCCTTCTCCCTCTACCCTGTTGTCCACTCACACTTCCCCAATCTCGAACACCATGACCTCTCCCCGTGTAGCCACGAGCTCCACTGTGCCCCACTCCTCTTCCCTAGTGCCCACTCCCACCTCTCCAGTTCTGACCACCGCAACTTCACCTGGAGCCACGAGCCCTACTGCGGCCTCCTCCTCCACCACAGAGACCACCCACACCCCTGAACTTTCCCCCAGCAGTCAGGTGACCTTCAGCATGTCTGTTTCTCCCTTGGGCCTCAGTACCGTTAGGTCTACTGTCTTTTCCAGCCAATCAGTTTCCCCGTCACCCTGTTTCTGCCGGGCATTTGGACAGCTCTTCTTACCTGGTGAGTAGAAAATCCATGTTTTCCCTATCTCATGTCCCTTGTCCCCTGGGTCTGTCAGCCTTGGGAGCTATGAGCCCTTTTGCGCATGTAAATTTCAGTCTATGCCCTCTCTGGACAACCTTCTCCCTTAGGCAGGCTGCCTCTATGTCTCCCCCTGATGCTACCCCGCCTCTTCAGATAGGGTGTGGCTATGTCTTTCTGTGTCTTTTTTCCCTTCCACAGGAGATGTCATCTACAATAAGACTGATGGAGCTGGCTGCCAATTCTATGCCACCTGCAACCAAAACTGTGAGCTTGACCGCTTCCAGGGTGCCTGTCCCTCCTCTTCACCTCCAGTGCCCTCTACCCACGTGCTTTTGTCTACCCTGCTTCCTGGCTGTGATAATGCCAGCCCTCCCCGGCAGGTGAGCCTCCCTTCTCCCTCCACCTCCCTCTGATGTGGTGCGGATATGGGTTCTCAGGGACAACTGCATTTGGGTTGAGTCATGGCTAATGTTCACCTAAAGCACCACCTCAACCATATAGCCTATCTCAGTGACCCATCTTCCAGTGGCTCCTGTTGAGAGAGGCGCACTGGATCTGGGGTCTTGATCAGCAGAAGCTGGTTGCCTTATGTGATTCACATCTGTAGGGACATGGGGGTCCAGAAAGGACAGAGCTTGAGTCTCCCCATGACCTCAAGGTGAACACCCTGCATATCTTCTGCCTCAGGTGAATGAGTCCTGGACCTTGGAGAACTGCACAGTGGCTAGGTGCCAGGGAAATAACCAAATCATCCTCGAAGAGCCAGAGCCTGTGGACAATGTCACCTGTGTCAACAAGCACTTGCCCATCAAAGTGTGGGACCAGAAGCCTTGCCACTTCCACTATGAGTGCGAATGTGAGCAGAGGGCAGGCGCGGGACAGTCCAGCAAGATGGGACAGGATTGAGGCATCTGATCTCAGTGTGTCAGTCTCAAACAGCATTGTGTGCACAGGGAGGTTGGCAACATGGATGGGGCAGAGGAAGGGGCTGTGTGACCAGGAAGGGGTAGGGTGCAAAAAGCCACAATGGGAGTTTTTTTCTTGCAGTCCTGATGACAACTTCTATTACTGAGTGTTAAATGACTCAAACTTGGGACTTAGAACAGCAAACTCAGGGTCTCACAGCCCTGAGCTAGAGTCAGATCAAGACAGGCAAGGCATCTCTATAGAGAATCCTTCTTTCTTGACTTTGCCAGTTAAGGGCTACAGAGTCCTTGGCCTGTGGCTTCATCACTCTATTCTGCCTCCACCTTCTTATGGCCTTCTGCTCCATGTCTCTCTCCTGCCATTTCTAAGTACACTATCATCAGGTTCAAGGAATACCCAGGTAATTTGGGATTATTCCATTTTAAGACCAACATCATATTCACAATTCCCAAGGTAGATATGGTTTGGGAGATAACTACTTGGTAGATGAAGCAACTGTGTTCCCCCGAAGGAACCATCCAGAGGTGGTGCTGGGTAACAGGGGTGGGAAGGGAGCCTTCAACTGTAGTCTCCCATAGGCTTCTGCAGTGGATGGGGGCAGTCACACTACCTGACATTTGATGGCACCTCCTATACTTTCCTGGACAACTGTACCTCGGTGCTCATGAGAGAGATCCACCCTCGCCATGGCAACCTGAGCATCCTTGCTCACAGCTACTACTGTGGGGCTACCACCAATGCCACCTTCTGTCCCCGTGCCCTCAGTGTGAACTACAACTCTATGGAGATTGTCCTCACCATCACCACCACTGGCAGTGGGAAGGAGGAGAGCCTGGTGAGTCTTCTGGCAGGCAGAGCCCCAAGGCCACACTGCAAGCATGGGGTAACACAGGCAAAGATGAAAAGCCCTCAGGACCAAGCGTATTCTCCCCTCTGCAGATATGACCTGTAGGAGCTTTCCTAGGCAAAGAATAAATGCCTGGCTCTAGATCGAGGAATAGGAATGTCCTTAGTGTTTGGCAAGTAGCATCCACTGCTGCCTAGTTGGCTCCCTAGTTACTGTTTCCCTCTGGACATCCTTAGGTCATATGGGACCAAATGTTGATAAACTCAGGCTACACTAAGAATGATGTGACAGTGTCCTTGAGCGGCACCACCACAATGAGTGTCAACATTTCCACCATTGGCACCAGCATCACCTTTGATGGACACATCTTCCAGATATGGTTACCCTACAGATTCTTCAGCAACAATACTGAGGGCCAGTGTGGTGAGTAGGCATGGCCAGGCTCATTCTGCATCCCTAAGTCGGGGGAAGGAATGAGTCTATGGAAAACAGTGAGAAACTGATTGTAACCTCTACCCTATTCACCAGGTACCTGCACCAATAGCCAGACAGATGATTGCCGCCGGCCAGATGGCACCATAGCTTCCAACTGCCAGGACATGGCCAAAGACTGGCTGGTTCCCAGGAACAGCAACAACGGCTGCTTAGCTCAGCCTAGCCCTCCCCCAAGCACCACTTCCCAGCCCCCAGTATCCAGCACATCCACCTCTACCCCATGTCCCACTGCACCCCTCTGTGAGCTGATGCTGAGCCAGTGAGTCGGCCTTTGGGGTGGTGGGCCTGGGCAGCAGTCCCCTTGGCTAACCTCCCTGCTGGGCTCTGAGGTCCCAGTCCTGACCACTCACTGTCATAGGGTCTTCGCTGAGTGCCACAGGCTCATCCCTCCAGATACCTTCTTCAGTTCCTGTGTCAATGACCACTGCAATGCCAATGTCACTGACATGCTCTGTCAAAGCCTGGAGGCCTACGCAACACTCTGCCGGGCCCGGGGTGTGTGCGTCAACTGGCGCAATGCCACTGAAGGGCTATGTGGTAAGTAGGGAGTATCCAATTTGTCAGGCCTCCAGTCTCTTTGGTTCTTCCAAACCTGTCTGATGATGCTCTCTGCACCCACAGACCTCTCCTGTCCACCCACTAAGGAATACAGGCCTTGTGGACCCCTGCATCCAGCATCCTGCAGCTCCAGGTGAGTACAATCTAAGTAATAGTATAGCAGCTGGCCTTCCATGTCTGAAGGGTCTAAGCTCTGGGACCCCCACGACTGGCTCTTGGAGGTATCACCTCATTTCTGATCCTTACTCTGCTGCTTGCCCCTCTTCACACTAGGACCCTGAGTGTTTCAACTGAGATGCAGGCAGAGGGCTGTTTCTGCCCTGAGAATCAGCTCCTCTTCAACTCCCGCATGGACATCTGTGTGCAGGAGTGTCGTAAGTGCCATTCACCTACCACGGGACAAGCCTTGTCCCACCCCAGTCCCCCATAGGGTCCTCACCTTCCAGGCCAGGCCAAGATCCCAGACATCTGCAGACCCTCTTCTGCCTGACTAGTATGTGAGAGGAGCCTAAAGCAGACGTCTAAAGGCCTTCTGTAAGCCTGCCACCATTTTGTCTAAACTCTGCTGCTTGAAGCTGGCCAGAGAAGCTGCCTTCCTTTGCCAAGTGCTAGACTCTCAACATCCAACTTCACCACCGCTTCAGGGACCTGACACCCTCAGAATTCTCTAGGGCCTTCTGCTCCACCCTGGGAGAAGACAGAGGTCTTGGCTTGGGGTACAGGTGGCCAGGACTAAGCACAATTCTCTCAGCCTATTATCCCCTTCTGCCTCACCTTGAACCCCAGCATCTCCAGTAACAGTTTTCTTGTTTTTTTCTAGCCTGCGTGGGACCAGATGGACTACCCAAGTTTGTGAGTGGTGCTGCTCCCCTGCCCCCACTTGAGCTCAAGAAGAGGAGGGAGGAAAAGGGGAGGGTGGCTGACTCCTCATAGCCCAGGAGGCTGATGTGGGGCTCCTGGGCTTCCTTCCTGCTTTCACCCTGGACAGCAGAGGGCTGACCTGCTGAGGGCAAACAAGGACTTGGAGTTGAGTTCAGGCAGAGAGGCCAGGGACTTTAGAACCTCAGAGCCTTCAGAGATCTTGACTTGGCCTGTTTCAGCCAGGAGAACACTGGATCAGCAACTGCCAGTCCTGCGTGTGCGACCCCAGCGCTGTGTCAGTACAGTGTGAGCCAGTGCAGTGTGAGAGCCAGGAGCTCCCACAGTGCACAAAAGCTGGCTTTGTGACTATGACCAGGCCCAAGGCTGACAATCCATGCTGCTCCGAGACAGTCTGTGGTGAGCACCTACTGGGACATAAGAGAAATAGACTCTAGCTTAGCTTCACTGGACCAATCAGGTGGGGGATGTCTCAAGATGCTTCAGCTTTTGACCTAAAAGTACCACTGGTGACCTCTGGTCTGACCTAACAGAGCAGAGACCTGGTAAGGACCAAGGAGATGAAAGCGTGAGGGAACCTTATGAAACTAGAAAAGCCATGAAGCCTACTAGGTCCCAAAGAAAAATGACACTAGAAGCTAGTATTTCCCGAAAGGGAGAAGATGGTGGTGGTGGTGGTGGGGGGGGGGGGGATGACAAAATGGGCAGCATCCTGACATGGCCATTTCTCTACAGTCTGCAATACAACCACCTGCCCCAAGAGTCTGTCCAAGTGTGAGCCAGGGCACGAGCTGATCCGCATCTACGAGGAGGGCAGCTGCTGCCCCAACTCCATCTGCAGTGAGTAGGAATGGGATGAAGCGCAGGGGAGGGTGCACTGAGACTGGCTGCAGGAGAGTTCAGGGATGGGGAGGAGACAGGGTTTCTGCCCCACTGTCCAGATGTGTAATCAACCCCCTTTCCTTTCAGGACCCAAGATGTGCACACACAATAACACCCTCTATGGGGTAAGGGCTCATCCCAGGCAGGGTGAATAGCAGGGGTAGGCCGAGGTGGGTGGGAAGCCCATGTCCCCCAGTTCCTGATCCTTGCTTTGGCATCCTTGCCATAAAGGTAGATCTGGAGAGGGGGTCTGGGCCCTTAAGACATAGGACATAAGGCCATTGCGTGTGTGTGTGTGTGTGTGTGTGCATGTGCACAAGTGTGCACATTTGTGTGCATGCAGGAGCTGTGGAACGAGGGGTTACCACATCTGCTACATCTGAGTGGTTGGCTTCTGAGTCTCCCAGCTTACTACTGTCCCCACCCACTGAATACCTGTGTTCAACTATGGGAACAATTACACTGTGGGGAAAAGAACTGGGCTCATGGGACATGTCTGGACCCAGCTGAGTCGACCTGGTATGTGCTCACCCCTGCCCCCACCTTCTCTTAGAGCTGCTCTCCTCATCTGTTATAGGTTGGTGCAAACTTCCCAGGGGATGTTCCCTGCCAAACATGCACCTGCTTCTCTGTGGGCAATCAAGAACCAAAAGTAGAGTGTAGAGAGATCCTTTGTACCACCTTCTGCCCCCAGGTGAGTCTGTGGCCCAGCAGACATCTTGAGAGACTATCCGTGGCAGTCCATCATTGAGAGTCCTCCAATTCACTACAGTTTCGAGGTCTTGTTTTTTTCTAAAGGGAAAAGTAGGAGGATGATGAGGACTGGAGGACAGGTCCTGCAGATTGATGAGCTGACTAGAAAGAGATACAGTATGGTACCAGTAGACCAGTAGTTCTTAACCTGTGGGTCATGACCCCATTGGGGTTGAATGACCCTTTCACAAGGGGTCACATATCAGATGTTCTGCATGTCAGATATTTATATTATAATTCATTACAGTAGCACAATTACAGTTACGAAGTAGTAACGAAATAATTGTATGGTTGGGGGTCACCATAACATGAAAAACTGTATTAAAGGGTCACAGTCTTGGGAGGGTTAAGAACCACTACAGTAGACAGAGAGGCTAAGAAGCAGGGTGAGCTAAGCTGTAAGACCTGAGAAGGGGGTATAACATAGAACAAAGACATAATCTCTTAGGAGTTCCTGACAAGGAGGCCCAGGACCCCTAGAGTATACTCAGAAGGGTGTCTGGGATGAATGAGAGACCTGACTACCTCTCCTGTCCCCACAGGGCTTCAAGTACACACTGGTGCCGGGGCAGTGCTGTGGGGAGTGTGTACAGGATGCCTGCTTCACACCAGAGGGCCAGACAGTGCAGGTAATTGGAGAGGGTGTAAGAGATCCTCCCCTGAGCAGGTCTCATTCACAACTGGGTTCCTGTCTGGACCTCTATTGTGTGTTTTGATTTCAGCCCCATGAAACCTGGGTGAACAGCCATGTTGACAACTGCACAGTGTACCTCTGTAAGGCTGAGAATGGAATCCATGTACTGACTCCACTCCCCATGTCCTGCCCTGATGTGTCCAACTGTAGGGTATGTACTTGGGAAGCACTGCCTTTGGGTGGTCCACCCTTGTCATGCCCCTGGAAGGTTCTGACCCAAGAAGTCTGTGTCTCCATGGCTTCTACCCCATATGCTGGCTCTGTCCCAGTTCTATTCTGCTCTGTTCTTGGCCCTGCAGGGAACCCTAAGGAAAATAGGTTGCTGTTACTCCTGTGAAAAAGAAGGTAAGTTAAAGATAACTCTCATTTAGTCCTCCAGCTCCATCCAGTTCCCACCAAAAGCAATCCAAGTTTCTCCCATGAGTGGCAGATCCCACCAAAGTCCCAGGCTGGCCACCCAGGAAAGGTGTGTCAGTCACTTCTCTCACTGCTGTGAGAGTATGACAAAATACCAGACAAAATCAGTTTAAGAAAGGCTTTCTTTGCCTCCTGGTTAGAGTGTACAGTCCCACCATGGCAGGGAGACATGGCAGCAGCAGAAGCAGATGGTCATATATGTCTGCAGCCAAGAAGCAGACAGGGATAAAAGCTAGGGCTCAGCACACTTTCTCCTTTTCAGTCAGTCTGAGACCCTAGCCCATGGGAGGTCCTGACTACATTCAGGGTGGGGCTTCCCTCAGAGGTTAGTTTAATCTAAACAAGCTCTCAGAACTTTGTCTTTTAAGTGACTCTAGATCCTGTTGAGATGATAGTCAATATTAACCATCACAGAGGGCCAGCCTTACCAGGTCCAGGGTCTCTGAGTTAGGGTCTATGGTCTCTGCAATGGCCTGTCTTCTTTGCAGACTCAAGTACATGTCAAGTGCGTGTAAGCACAACCATCCTGCGGCATAAGGGCTGTGAAACAGAGATGGCAGTCAATGTCACCTTCTGCGAGGGTTCCTGCTCTGGAACGTCCAAGTGAGTGGGGGCCTTACCTCCCCAAGAGTGTAGCAGAATCGGGTGCTACCTTGTCACCTTGGGCCTTACAGAGACTGTCTCCTTCTTGGTGTCCAGAGGTCACACATACTTGTCTGCATAAAATAAATGGCCCACCTCCCAGTCACATCAGGGGCAAACCTTGCTTAGCTGTACAGAATTGGGCTTCCGCCTTGGACTTGTGTCCAGGAATCTGAAAGTGTCTAGGGAAACAGGTAGCATCAGATCCCTCTATAGTCCTCAGATGGCCCCAGGCTGCAGTCAGCTGTGAGCAGGAGTGGCCAGGAAGGTTAAAGAATCTGTGGTTAGAGAAGGCAGGAGGAAGGGTACCAGGTTGACTCCAGGACTTAAGGTGACTCGTCCAGAGGAAGAGTCTCAACAGGGTCAGCAGGATGGAAAGAAAGGAGAATCATGGGAGGTGATGAAAGATGAAGGTGGTTTTTAAAAAAGCCCAGGAAGAACAAGGCTGTGTGTTCAAGAAAGTAGTCGTGGCAGATAGTCAGACAGCTTTCAAGAGCCCACAGAGGACCACGAATCACTATACTGCCAAGAGGACCATGGATGGGAAACGCTGACCTCCCATGTCCACAGGTACTCCTTGGAGGTCCAGGCCATGGAGCATCAGTGCACCTGCTGTCAGGAGAGCAAGGTCCATGACGTAGCTGTGGCCATGCAGTGTCCCAACGGTACAGTCATCCAGCACACCTATACCCACGTCGATGAGTGCAGCTGTGCCCTGGCCTGCAGTTCCCTGCCCATGGCATCCATGAACACTCCCTAAAGCCCAGAGCTAGAAGGCAATTGCATCCCCCAACCCCTCATGTCCCTCCACCTGGAGCAGAACCTGCACAACTGACAATGAAAACCTTAGGCACGCATGCTCCATGTGGCCCACAAGGACCCTCTGTGGCTCCCACTGTCTCTGTTCCACCCTCTGCCTGCCACTTGGTGAAACCAGCATCATGGAGGGTAATGGGACAATTAAGATCCACTTGAGGAGGGTGCCAGGGAAGAATTTGGCCCTTGGAGACCCTCTTGGCTGTCTTGGCTCATCCTCTGTGGTGACATATAGATGTCTTAGAGAAAAACAAAAAGCCTGTGGCTATACGACTCCCCACAGCAAGGTTGTATGCCCTTCATCACATAAAGAAGCCCTTTGCCAGTCATCTCAAGTGCACACAGGCAGATAGGACTGCCCAAGAAAGACAAGCTAATAGAGAGCTGTGTCAGGCAAGATAACTGCCTGCTGGAGGGGCCCTGGGATCTGGGGTTGGAAAGGGGCCTGTGCTCACCCAGCCCGAAGCTGTAATAAACCCTGGTACTATGTGTCTCCTCCTGGTGTCTTTTCCTGCCCACTCTACATGGCTCCCTGCTTATGGTTTGGAGTTGCCAGAGATGAAGCTAGAGCTATCATCAGGAACATGATGGATGAGGAATAGGGAAGAGGTACTGGACACTGAGAGCAAGGCCAGCCAGGGAACCACAAATCAGTATAGCTGCCACAAAACCCAGGGGCAGCATCAGGGCAGCCTAGACAGACAGAGGAGCCTGTTGACTAAGGAGGCCATCCTAGCACCCATCAGTGTGTGGTGGCTGCAATGGACAGAAAAGAAGGGTGCTCTGCATTGCTCAGACCCCAAGGGGCTGTGGCTGCAGTGGTACTGGGACCCCAGGTACTGTTCTGCCTCCTCAGGTGCACTATATTCAAGATACCTGTGGATTATTGGTTTACCATACAAGTGGCTATCCTTGGTGCTTTTCTTTCCCTCCCTCTGTCCAAAACGGGAAACATTCTATAAGTATGGCAGGGAGCCACAGGGACCAGGGAAATGTGGAACTCTATGGCTTGGGTTCTAGAAGTAGGCAGGAAGGAAGCATGTCAAGAGGAATCCTACATATGGTGTGAGACAGAGAATATCCTGGCTTGACTGTGCAGGAAGGATAAAAATGACCTTCAAAGGTACAGAATGTGGTCAATGGTGGGGCTGTGACCTAGGAAGATAAGAACACAGTGGCTAGCTATGGCCCCAAAAGCCTTTGGAGAAGTAAGTAGAGGGGTCCTGCTATGGGCTTGGGCTACCCTGCTCTCCAGAAGTGGATGTCAACAGACTCAGTATAGCAGAGCTCCTGTGCCTGGTGTTTGGGTCCAGGGTCTGGCTAGTGAACCTGCCTTTCACATGTACTTGCTGAAGTCTGTCGGGCAGGCAGCCCCCTGGGGAAACATGGTCCAGAGACTGACAAGGCAACAGGTGTGTTGTGGGACAGCAGAAGGCTACTGGGGCCAGCTTCTTTCTCCAAGCTCACCTTTGATCTCATGGTGTGGCTTCTAGGACAGAAAATTCCAGTCCCTGTCCTCATGAAATCACATCAAAGTGTTGTTTCTTCAACCTCAGTCATTTCAAGCATCATCAGTGAAGTCAAGAGCATCACTAAACAGAGACACTCTAAAATGTGGAGGTCTTCCATGTCTGGGGAGGCTCCTGACTACGGCCATATATACAGCGTGGTCCTCTTTACTTGTCAGGAAACAGGCACAAAGAGACGAAGAGCTTTATCAGGAAGCAAGACCTGCTACAGCCAGGGTAACAAACTTAAGAGTCCACTCTGAAAATACAAGAACTGACCTGGACCCACGGAGAATCACAATGAGACACAATGAAAACACCACAGCTCTGGGTGCACTTCAAATATATTCTAAAAGGGTTTCTGCCTCCTAGATGGGAGAGTGGACATCTCTTCTCCACAGACTGACCAAAACAAACTGCAACTAAACCACTAAACTAAGTGGACTAAGCTGAAAGCAGACATCTCTGTGAAAGAAAAAGACATTAGCAATATACCAACAATGATAGGGTAGCCCAGGGGTCCACATCAGGAGGCCCAACACCCTTCCTTGTAGGAATGTACACTTAGCTCCTAAATCACCAAGCTTCTGGGTCCCCAAGTGAGGCAGAGTTCAGTAAACAAAAAGGGATCAAGCACCAGGCACTCAGATTTGCAAGTAAGACAGGGTGATTTCAAAGAAATGATTTCAGATTATTGGGAATATAGCTGAAGTTTCCCCAAAGGAAAGAACTGAAAGGGAGCTGGCGGTGAGGTGGCACATACCTGCAATGCAGCACTCTAGAGGTTAAGGCATGAGGAGGCTAACCTGGGCTATATAGTGAGACCCCCCCATATAAAAAGAGAGAGAGAAAGAGAAAAGAGGCTGCCTAGAGATGAGTACTGGAATGTTCTTGCTGGGGTTATAATCACAAGGAAGGGTGCTGCTCAGCCTGGGGAAAACTGTCGCATGTAGGATAATCCTTTCTGCTTCCACATTTCCACCAAGCAACTTTAAAAAACAAACAAACAAAAAACAACAAAACAATCTTTTCTCATTTTACATACCAATCCCAGTTCCCACTCCCTCCCCTCCTCTCACTTCCCCCACTTTTTCCCCACCCCATCCCCCATCGACTCCTCAGAGAGGGAAAGGCTTCCCATGGGAAGTCAACAAAGTCTAGTACATCAGTTTGAGGTTAAGACCAAGCACCCTCCCTCCAATATCTAGGCTGAGCAAAGAATCCCTCCTGATGGAGGAAGGTCATTGGTTAGAACATAGGTGGGTGGAGTAAACAGAACAGAATGCTGGGAGGAAGAGGAAGTGAGGTAAGACGCCATTTCCTCTCCTCTCTGGGGCAGACGCGATGAAGCTCCGACCCAGGATGGACGGTAGGCTAGAATCTTCCCGGTAAGCGCACCTTGGGGTGCTACACACATTATTAGAAATGGGCTAGTCCAGGTGCGAGAGTTAGCCGAGAAGAGGCTAGATATAATGGGCCAAGCAGTATTTAAATGAATATAGTTTGTGTGTTGTTATTTCAGGGCATAAGCTAGCCAGGTGGCTGGGAGCTGGTGGTAGGAACGCAGCCCGCAGCTCCTTCAACACCCTCCAAAGAGAATGGGCTCCAAAAAGCCAGTTCAAGCACTAGGCATAAATCCTGGTCCCACTGCCAGTGGTCCCACAGACTGCCCCAGCCACACAACTGTCACCCACATTCAGAGGGCCTAGTTTGGTCCTATGCAGGTTCCCCCACTGTCAGTCCAGAGTCAGTGAGCTCCCACTAGCTCAGGTCAGTTGTTTCTGTGGGTATTACCATCATGGTCTTGACCCCTTTGCTAATATTATCACTCCTCTCTCTATGACTGGACTCTGGGAGCTCAACCCAGCTCTTAGTTTTAGTTTAGGATCTCTGCATGTGCTTCTATCAGCTGCTGGCTGAAGGTTCTATGACAACAATTAAGGTAGTCATCAATCTGATTACAGGGGAAGGCCAGTTCCAGCACCTTTTCCAGTACTGCTTAGGGTCTTAGTTGCACTCCGCAGCTTTTAAATAGATCTTAGCTGCAGGGTCCTGTTCCCATAGATAACACAGTAGAAGGCTACAGTTCAAAAGGATGCTCATGAGTTGTTTGCAAAGTATAAATGAGGGACCAGAGAGAGGCTCAGTAGTTAAGAGTACTTGCTATTATTCCAGAGGACCCAGGTTCAGTTCCTAGCAACTACACATAGGTTCACAAGCATTTCTAACTTGTTTCTGTGGATCTGACACCCTCCTCTAACCTCCATGGGCATTAGGCATGCACATAGTACACAGACGTACATACATATAGGCAAAACACCCATATACATAAATAATAAGAAATTTAAAAACATAAGTGAGGAGCTGGGGCATAGCTCAACAGGTAAAGGCACTTGTTACACAGGCCTGGCTACCTAAATTCAATCCCTGGAACTTACATAAAGGTGGCAGGAGAGAACTGACTCTCAAAGTTGCCCTCTGACCTCCACATGCACATGATGGCATACACACAATGACATGCACATGACCACACTTGCATATACACTATACACAATATTAACAAAAGCAAGTTAAAACTAATTAAATGGTGGACTGGGGAGATGGCTTAGTTGGTAGAATGCTTGCCACATAAGTATGAGAATTTGAGTTGAATCCCCAGAACCCATGTAACAGCAGGATTTGGTAATGTGTGTCTTTAGTATCAGTACTTGATGTGGGATTCCCCTCTGTATGTTGTGATTACCATTAATGAATAAAGAAAACTGACATGGCCTGATAGGATAGAACAGAGGTAGATGGGGAAAAGTAAACTGAATGCTGGGAGGAAAAAGATGGAGTCAGAGAGAAGCCATGTAGCCCCTCTAGAGACAGACACCAGAACTTTACTCGGTAAGCCACTACCACGTGGCAATACACAGACTAATGGAGATGGGTTAAATTAATATGTAAGAGTTAGCCAATAAGAAGCTAGAGCTAATGGGCCAAGCAGTGATTTAAATAATATAGTTTCCTTGTGATTATTTTGGGGCTGAGCAGCTGGGGAACCAACAAGCGGCCTCCAACTACAAGTACTGGTGAAGTGGAGACAGGTTCCTGGGACTCACTGGCCAGTCAGTCCAGTCTACTTGGTGAGGTCCAGGCCACTGAGACCCTGCCTCAAAATTCAAGGTGGGTAGCACCTGAGGGACAACACCTAGGGTTGACCACTAACCTCCACATGCATAGGTATCGGCGCACACATGCATCAAGAATGAAAAAATAGAAATAGTCATGTTGACCTTCTGCCTGATCTTACAAGTGTGCTATCTCCTAAGCACCCAAGGGAGTCTTAAGGGCCTAACCTGCTAAGCAGGAGCTAATCACTCCAGGAAAGGGCACTTGGCAACTCTGCCTTGTGTACCTGGGGGACCTGCCCAAGGCCCTGCAGTGGGAACAAAGTAGATAGTAGGAG